CAATATATATGGGTGCTATAGCCATATCGGAACTGATCTTCACCAAATTGGACTTACAACCTTCTAGACTCAATTCAGTCGTAAGTGCCAAATTCCATCTCATTTGGACAAATTGTAGACGTTTGGTGCACAATAAAAAGTAAATCGGACGAAGTTATATATGGAAGTTATCCAAATCTGAACCGATCTCGATAAAATTTAGCAAATGTATTTCTGAGCTGTATTTGCTATATTTCCCCAAATATTGTTGTTACAGAGTGCACATTAAGGCTGCGGAGGACAAAAATAACAAATCGGGTTAACAATATATATGGAAGCTATAGCTATATCTGAACCGATTTCGATCAAATTTGGCATACTTATTTTCAGGCCTAATTTGGTTATATGTGCAAAATTCCATAATATTCGGGCTGATATTACACGTTTGGTGCACAATAAAAGCAAATCGGACGAAGATATATATGGGAGCTATATCTAAATTTTGACCGATTATCTCCAATTTCAATAGGGTTCGTCCTTGGGCCAAACAAATGATCTGTGCATTTCATCTGGATAGGGCAATAAATGCGAACTGTACCTTGTTTACAAAAATACATGGACAGACGGACAGACGGACGGACATGCATAAATCGACTCAGAATGTGATTCTATGTAGACCATCAAAAGGAACTATAGGTCTATCTCGTTTCCTTTTGCCTGTTACAAACACATGCACAAATACATAATACCCTGACCACCTTGTGGTGTAGGGTATAAAAAATTGGAAACGAAACGGCTAGATCGACTCCAAATGTACAGAAACATATATCGTGATTAAGATTTTTATTCAGTTGAAAATTTTTTAAATTAAAACAAGTAAAAAAGCAGTAAGTTCGACCGGGCTGAGCTTTTAATACCCTCCACCATATGGCACAAATTTGGCAATTTCCAAAAAAAAAAAAAAAAAAAAATAAAATCCATTAAAAATGCTGTTAAAATCTTAAAAATACCGAATATCGAGGGGTACGGTATATGGGGGCTATACGAAAACGTGGACCTACATGGCTCATTTTCTGTTTTATGCTGCACTATCTGTTACGAACTTCAAATACCAAATTTGGAACGATTCCATTAAATAATGTCGCTAAAATCATCCAAATACCGAATATCGAGAGGTACCGTTGAAGATGGGCTATATCGGTCCACGATATCGTATATCCCCCATATAACGGTACCCCCGATATTCGGTATTTTGATAACTTTAACCACATTTTTTAACGGAATTGTCTGAAAATCCACACAAGGAGTTCTTTGTGGGTATTTTGCCCCCTGACAGAGAATTGTCTCTATTGATTCACGATATCGTATAGCCCCCATATAACGGTACCCCCCAGTATTCGGTGTTGTAATGATTTTACCCACATTTTTCAACGGAATTGTCTGAAAATCCACACAAGGAGTTCTTTGTGAGCACATTACCCCCTGAAAGGGAATTGTCTATATAGGTCCGCAATATCGTATATCCCCCATATAACGGTACCCCCCGATATTCAGTAGTTTGATGATTTTAGCCACTTTTTCCAATGGAATTATCTGAAAATCTACACAAGGAGTTCCTTGTGAGTACTTTACACCCAGACATAGATTTGTCTTAATAGGTCCACAATATCATATATACCGCCATATATCGGCACCTTCCTATATTAGATATTGTAAAGATTAAAAAAAAAAAAATAATGGATTTTATTTTTTTGAAAATTGTCTAATTCGATCCAAATGGTGGAGGGTATTCAAAGTTCGGCCCGCCCGAACTTACTTGTTAAAACTATAACAGAATGTTTTAATGATTTCATTTTTTGAAAATTTCCAAATTCGTTCCAAATGGTGGAGGGTATTCAAAGTTCGGCCCGGCTTACTACTTTTTAACTTGTTAGACTTCGTTTTGAGTAGGTCTGAAAAACAAGCATTCCATATTTACGTATTCTATAAAAAACTGATTTTTTTAAGAATTCAAGTATTTAAAGATTTGTTAATCTCTTATCTACTCAGCAAACAGTATTTACCTTTTAAAAACGAAAATAATGACATAGAAACAAGTTTCATGTATTGATATCTCTCAATTAAATAAACGGAATTACAACAAGAGCCCACAAAACTTGGTCTTCACCCTCCCATTGAACAGGGAAATCTCCCCTATGAGAAGAATACAAACGTAGAAAGGGATATTTTTCAATTGACTCGAATAATAGAGAAAAAACTGTCAACCCAAAAAAAAAAAAAACCGGCAAAAGTCATAAATTTTGCAACAGTTTCAATCTTTGTTTAAAGCAAAGGTCTTGTTGTTGTTTTTCTGCAGTTCGAGTTCAGTTTAAATACATATGACTACCAACTGCAACCACTATCCTATTGACAAACGTATGCGAAATGGACAATGTCAATTCCAAAAGGATAATGCACACATGCCACATTGCCAAAACGAATGTCGGCTGTATGCTAGTATTAGGGGTGGGTGGGCGTTAGTGGTTGACGCTATAGAATATGTTGAGATATCTCTTTTTTCTTGGTTATGGATAAATTAAGGCATTTGGCTTAAATAACCTTTGAGCAAACATGAGCAGAGAATTTAGCACAAAACCGAAAAATCAACACCAAGCTAGTGGCGATTGACTTTAGCGGATTAAAGATGTCACTAAATCAATCAATTAGAGGCGTTTTTCAACGATCTCGTGAAAATGACCAAACGAAGTTGGACTTCAGAGTACACTAGAATGGATGTGAAATGATATAATCCTTTGAATATGATACTACCACATGTGTTTTAAAAAAGACATATGCCTACTGGCATTTAGAAGAAAATCGCCAGAAAACACTAAATAAGAATATTTTTCTGACTTGTTTTTAGAAGAAAGGATTTTTAGGTGCTCTCTAGAGAATTCCGCGTAGTTTCATGGGTTCATTGTTATTAAGAAGCATTTTTTACATTTCAGCGAACTCCAAGGGGTTAGCGTCCCAGGCCCCCACCCCGGATACTTTAGTGTTTCCAAGCATAAAACTAGCTCACACTACGACAATTTCTAGCAGAAACATCTTGTAATATCTATAGGCTCGTATTATGCAGATAGAAGGCAAATTATGAGGTCTTTGTAGAAAAACATAGAAGTCCAAATAACGACTTGCTAAGTGACCCTCAAACTTAGCAAGTCGTTATTTGGACTTCTATGTTATTTCCGTTCAATATATTGATTCACAAATGGTAGAAATTTTAAATCGTCAGAAAAATTAAAAAATAGTTCTAAATTTGTTCAAATGTTGTACCTAGCAATATTATTGTGCAACACAATCCTGCGCAAAGACAGACACAATCGGAGCACTTCATCTGTTAGCGCCCTTTAATATTTGTGCTCCTTTCTTGGCGGCGAGAAGGGTCCAAACTTAACACACAGAAGGTAGGAATTAAAAAAAATAACAAATTTTAGTTCCATATAGAATAATTTTTTTCAGCAAAAACCATAGACAACATTTTAAGTTTGATACTTTTAAACGATAGCTCTATGAAGATTTCAGAAATGAGAAATAATTTCATACAACTCACATTACAATGAAAATTTTCTTTTAACTTAACACTTTGTATAAGCCACTTAACAATCTTACCAACATGAACGTGTTGCCCTCATATGTAAATATGTACAACAACTGTGAATAACGCCCGTATACAAACCCGAGAAAGTTACATAAGCTAAGAAGCCCAATTTGAGCCTACATATTTACTTAACCCTTTCACTCAAGCCAATCGTAAATGAAACTGGGCATTCATACGTACAATAACAGTTATAAACTAGGCTTTAGGCTACCGTTATTCAATATTCACGTTTATGACTTGATTGATGTGATAGATTTCGCATAAGGACGACGAAAAAAGGTGTGGATGTCGTGACAGAAATCCTTGAACACGTTATGTAAATAATACGAGAGGCACGCACGTTTGTCAGTCTGTCCGTCTGCCAGTTTTTACCGATGCTATTGTTAGGCGCACAAAAGGAGTGCGCGAGTATTGCGCGATTCATATGGAACAACCAGTTGATGTGATTATATTTTTTGTTTTCATTTCCATTTCTTTCATTTATGAACTTACGAATTTCCGGAATTAGGAAAAGGAATTCTGGGACTTATTTGGGACATTGAAGAAATGTGAATGCAACAACAGTCAGGCAGTCTGCCAGCCAGCCATTCGTATGTGTATTATGAAGAAGGAATTTACACTTTTTTCACTGACAATGGCATGCCTTCTTTCAGTTAAAGGACACACAGCTTTTGTTTTATGATCGTAGCTATTGTAGCTTCTATTTGAACAAATTTTTATGTCTTTATGATTATGGCAATTAGTTAAAATGAGAAATTGTTGCTGCAAGGCTCAATGCCAATGCCACCTTCTTACGGACATCAGAGCATCTTAATTATGGACAGTGGGAGGTATGCAAAAGAAATTGTTGCTCATTCTCTCTCCGCCTTGAGTTTCTCCTTTGGTAAAGATCGTACATGGGACGACGAGCAGGGGAAATGTTAAGGTGACGGATAACCTCGAACTCGAGGTTGCATATTTCGCGATGATAATGTGTTGCTTATGGCAAGTATACATGGGTAATAAAGAGCACAGCAGGTAATCTCAGGAGGACATCTCGCTTGTGTGCCGATATAGAGAGCCTATGGTACGGATAAATTTCTCCTGTACGGATAAAATTTCTCCTACTCGTCCTTGCTGAAACCCTGACCTAGCAGAACAAATGTGCAATTCTCTCTCCGTGTGACTCTCTTCTAACATATTTCTCCCTTGCGAGCCGTGATATATGCGCTCTCAGTGCTAGAATGAGGGAAAACTATTTAGAATTTGATGAGAGATCTTTTGTTATTGCCACACACACCCAGCATGTGTCAAAGTGTCATGCAAAGAATATTTATGTGCAATGACGAGCAAAACTGCGAGGTAACAGGCCGTACAATAACAATTGCCAAAACCCAATGCGGAAAAGTCGTGTGCCACAAGGTCCTGGTGTTTGTGTTGTGTACACACAGTGTGGCAGAAGGCACGGAGATTTTGCTATATTAAGCAGAACATTCGGAGAGAGCAGCACATTCGCCATCACATCCTCATCCTGATCACATCTCAGTAGTTTAATTTAGAGTAACAGATTTAGAAGAGGAGGAAGTTGCAGAAACAAAATAAAATATTTTAAATTCAGTTTAGTTTTTCCATTTGATTCGACTTAAACAAAACAGAAAAATGGCAGCCACAAACTATTATGCCGATTTCACTACCAACAACACCAGCGCCAACATGTACAACTACTCTGCCCCCACATATTATGACAACAGCAGCAGCAGCTATTATCAGCAAAGCAACGCCACCTGGAATCCAGCCACCTACAACCCCAACTATGCCGCACAATACAATGCTCCAGTTATGGATGGATCACATTACAATGAATACTACAACTATCAGAGCGTAGTGGATACTCAACAACCAGCTCAAACTCAAGAAGTCCCCAAAGAAACATTGAAGAGAAAAGCTAACGTGTTAGAGGAAGAAGTCAAACCAGAAATCAAGCCAGAAGTTGAAGAACCTCCAAGCAAATTGCGTGCCTTGTTGACTAACCCTGTTAAAAAATTGAAATACTCTCCCGATTATTATTACACCACCTTTGAAAAGGTTAAGAAGGCTCCAGCTCCAGTGACCAATGAAAAACAGTCAATTTCATTGCCCAGTACCACACCACCCACCAGCTATGAACAAGAGTTCTTGGCTGCCCATACTCCAGCCACTCAACATAGCATTTTGTCCCCTAATCGCAGCGATGTGGATTACTTGGATGTCTACTCGCCCCAGTCGCTCAAAGTTTCCACACACAGCAACAACAACTTCAAGCAAAACGTTTCCCAACCCGCCACTCCAGCATCATTGGTCGATGGCATCAGCACTCCACCCCTATCGCCCAACGATAAACATGTCAGCCAAATCAATCAAACCTCCGAACAACAACATGAATTCAATCAAATGATGTCAGCCAATGACTACAATTGGTCGAACTGCGAAGACAGCCCTGCATCAGGTAGGTTTCCAAACACCAATAACTCATAATTTCCCTTAAAAATGTTTATGATTTTATTATTGACAGTTTCTGCCAACCAAAATGCTTTTCCGCTACCTGTAAGCATTCAGGCATTTTTTGGAAGCAAACAACAAAAAATCATCTTTTCATTTTTAAAAAACTGCAAATATTTTACAATTTCTTGGAACTCCATATATTAATAAAAACTTTTTATTTTTTCTAGATTGCAAAGACTCAAAACGCACCCGCCAAACTTACACCCGCTACCAAACTTTGGAATTGGAGAAGGAATTCCACTTCAATCGCTACATTACCCGCCGTCGTCGCATTGACATTGCGAATGCTTTGGGTTTGACCGAACGTCAAATCAAGATCTGGTTCCAAAATCGTCGCATGAAGTCCAAGAAGGATCGCACCCTCGAAGGACCCATGGAACATGGTCTCAACTATGCCACCATGCCTTTGGATGCCAATGTCAGTGGTCAAGTTCCATTCGTAGGCCCACACCAAACTATGGCACCAAACGCTACCTCTACTGCCCCAGGATCATATCCCGCTTACTTATCAACTGGCCCACAATCATTCCCTGCCGCTTACCACCATCATCACTCACCCGAACACTATGGCCAACAATACGAAGCCACAGCTCAACATGTCTACCCTCACCACCCTCATCATCAACACCAACACGCTCATTATCTCGCCGATGCCCAGCAATACGGCACTGCTGCTCATTTTGGCCAAACTGGCTATGCTCAGCACCAGCACCAACAGCAAATGCCTATTGTGCCAACCGGACCCAACCCAATGTATCAGATGGCTTAAATTGACTGCAGCCCATCGTTGCGTTGATCAACCATGCACAGCCACGAAAGCAAGATTTTTTGCCATTTGAGTGCCAGCCAAAGCAAATGGACAACAAAGTCGAAGACAACTTTCGAGGTTCAAACTCCACAGTATGCTCAGCAGTATTGTGGCTATCCAACGGTGTCTTCGGTTGGGATTTGACCGAACCGAAATGTGGACATCCATAGCCACAGCCAAGCGAGCTATGGGTAAGCAACAGAGAACAAAGGAGCGCAGGCGCAAATACCAAGCAGTGCAATATTTACTAAAACAGGCCACAAGGGTGGATGTGTGTGTGTGTTTGCCAACCAAACAACCAGCGGGCAATCAAACGAGCAACCAGCAGCAGCATCACACACACATACAGGAAGGAAGTAGACACTCTCCCTAAGAAAGCAATGCTCATCAACAACAATGGACACACAATCACACACCAACCCTTGTGTGTTCCGACGTCAAAAAACCAATAAATTATGAGTTTTGCCAGCATTGTTCACGGGGAGTAGCAAAAGTTACTTTTCAATTGAAACAAAAGGCCAAATCAAATACGGCATACCCATGGCGGGACCTGGGTAACCAGCCTGGGGTAGATAATAATCACCCTAACAGCATCACTACTCCAACCCTGGTGCGTTTGTTTATAATTCGAGCGACAAAGACATTTAAATCGTTGCTCTTTCTAAACAAAAGAGCAATGTCACTGAGATTTAGTACAAAATAATTGAGCTTATAATCAAATACCATTTTCTCTATCATTTTAATACCATTTCTATAAAATTATTATTATTAAATTTTGTATTTTATTTTTTAAGCTTTATTTAATTATTTAATATTGTAAGACTTTTAAATTATGTTAAATAAACACCATTAAATTTTATAAATGAACATTTTCTTGGTTTGCTTTATATTTGAATTACTGTTCCTGCTTTAGTCCCCTAAGGGAGTGCCGTAAAAAAGTGCGCAACTCATTTTGTTGGACAACTTTTTCCCGCCTTTAAAATGTATTAGAAAGTATATTTACAAACACAATCAATATTTATATGCGAATTTCATTTTTCACAATTATTAATAACTAGCTGGCCCGATCCGAGTTTCCGGCCCATAGTTTTAGTCTTTAATGCAAATTTTGTATAGCATAATATTTCACAAATCTAGCTCATAAAGGTGAACAAATTTTAATATAAATATTGATCCGACTAAATAGAAATAAATACCTATGGAAGAAGGGCAAAATAATTTCTGAATAGTCAAAGTTAATTACGCTTTTACACCCATTATTCAATGAAAATTCAATGATGATTAAACAATGCCCGTGTCGTTGTCCGCCAATCGGTAAAAATCACTATAGATCGGCGGCCCTGGGGACTATAGTAGCTTAAATGCAGCAAAATCGATTGGAAAATGTGGTCAAGACCCTCGAAATAGAAAAGCAAAGATGCCAAATAATTGCCAAATCAGTGGATAAACGTGGCCAAGACCACGGTCGTAGCTGAAATCAGGGATACATTCATATGAGGGTTATACCAAAACGTGGCCCAACCAATATTCTCTTGAGGGTTACAAATTCAATAGAATACAAAATTTTCCGACCACACATTAGATGTGAAAGTGGATTTGGGGATACTCCAATATGGGGACTTTACTTAAATAAATTTCTATGTGGCAATTATCTATATGATGGTTCCCTACCCCAGGGTAGCATAAATGCGTTTTTTAGCCAAATCAATTGATGAATCTGGTCAAGACCAAAATGGACCCCATTCTGAAAATTTCAAATTTTATGCGGAGAGGTTCTCTACCCCCTTAGAAACAAAGATGCCAAATAAGGGCCAAAATATGAAAAAAGTCGCCAAGACCCCAAAATTAGCTTAAATCATACGATGGTTATATAAATATGAAATCGGGTTGTACCCTTATCCGTGAGTTATGATCGATAGCATGACAGGCAAAAGCGATTTAAAGTATCTTGAATGTTTGGGAAGAATTTCTGGAAGGATATAAATCCTTTTATTACCAATAGCCCCATTCGCTTACCATTTCCACCCTTATATTTGGTATTTTACTGATTGTACTCCCAAAGAACTTTGCATTTTGAGCTCTCATGGGAAGGATTATTGTCACATGAGGGCTTTGAAATGAGCTCCATTAGGCTTTTTCGGTCATTTTGGTTTGTTTAAATGTGTTCGTATCTTCCAGCTGAACCACGATATAGGCCCTGGAGTTGAAAGGTAAATGTCAGTTAACATCCTATTTCGCACTTATTTCATTTTTTTTTTTTTTTTTTTATTCATTATTCTTTATTTTGTTCACAAAAAATTCACTGAATTCAATATGATAAAACAAATTGAAAAAAATTGACAAAAGAAGAATAACAAATTGAAAAAATCTTCAACTTGTTCGCTGATTTTTTACAGCAAATGTTTAAAGATTCTTACAAAATTTGTCAATAGAATGTACTATTGTTTTAAGATTTAATTCCATTGGAATTTTTTTTTTTTTCGATTTTTTACCGATTTGAGAATTTTTGCAATGAGATCTCTTTTTCGTGATTTGTTAGCGATTTTAAAAAGGTAATTATCTTTTAACTTTGGTGTGATCGCGTTAAATTATTTCGATATCATCTATTCCGTTTCGCCACCACATGATTACTACACTTCCATGTAACCCACCTTCAATTTCAGTTCTCAAGAAATCAAGTCAATTAAATAAATTGGTATTAAAATTCGAATTCAAAAATAAAATATAAAAGAACATTTTAAAAACACTACAAATGTACATTAGAAAAAAGTGAGTCAAAATGGAAAAAATCATGCAAATTAAAACATTACTAATGTACATTTCAAAAGTCAAAATGAAAATGTTAATATATCACATTTTTACTCGATTTTTTTGGATATTATCCTTTTTGGGACAGGAGACAATTCCGAATTTGTATGAATCGTTAAAATCAGTCCAGCGCGTAAAAATGTGATATATTAACATTATCATTTTGACTTTTGAAATGTACAATAGTAATGTTTTATTTTACATGATTTTTTTTCTATTTTGACGTACTTTTTTCTGATGTACATTTGTAGTGTTTTTTATATTTTACTTTTTAATTCGAATATTAATACCAATTTATTTAATTAACATGGAAGTGTAGAACCGAATTATGTGGTGGCGGATCGGAATAGATGATATCGAAATAATTTAACGCGGTCACACCAAAGTTTTTCAAAATCGCTTAAAAATCACCAAAAAGAGATCTCATTGCAAAAATACTCAAATCGGGAAAAAATCGAAAAAAAAATTTCAATGAAATTGAATTTTATTCTATTTTTGGGGTCTTGGCCACTTTTTTCATTTTTTGGCCCTTATTTGGCATCTTTGTTTCTAAGGGGGTAGAGAACCTCTTCGCATAAAATTTGAAATTTTCGGAGTAGGGCCCATATTGGTCTTGACCACATTCATCAATTGATTTGGCTAACAAATTGTGTTTATGCTACGCTGGGGTAGGGAACTATCATACAAATAATTGCCACATAGGGATTTTTTTAAGTAAAGTCCCACATTGGAGTATCCCCAAGCATCACTTTCACATCTAATGTGTGGTCGGAAAAGAAAAGTTTGTATTATATTGGTTGGGAACGTAGATTTGGGATGTACATCTATATGAAATAAATTGTGAAAACATGAACAAATTACAAATATAAGAAAGTAGCACTGGACCGAATATTTGCTGAATCGTCATTGAATTATACTATGATGAAAAATAGGGGCTTTATGGGGCCTCAAACTTACAATTTAAATGTCAAATAAAATTAATTCCCATCTTACGATAATGGGTGTAAATAGTAATTATATTTGACTATTCTGAAATCATTCTGCCCTCAATTATGGATAAAACTATTTTTACTTATTTAAATCTTAAATTAAATTAAAAATCCTTTTCATAAAAATTTCTTTTCACTGCAAATTTCAGATCATTAAGCTCGTCTCGAAAGAGAAAACAAACACTTAAATCATAAAACATATGATCTGCGCCTTAATAAGGCAAAACTTTAAAATTTTTTCAGTTTGACATGCTATGTTGTTCTGCTATATTATTAATTTGGCCTCTATTTGTCATCTTGGATTATAAGGGGTAGAAGAAAGTTTTCAATGTAGGTCGATGTTTCGGAGTAGTGACTATATAAAAGTACCTCCTGATGATAGTACCCCCTCAAGTACACCTTTTAGCGGACAAACAAACCGTCATGGTTAGGGGGACTTATGAGGACTCTAATATACAATCTAAGGTGTTAATGGGTTTAAAAAAGTAATTAACTTTGGCTATTCCTATATCTGTGAATAATTATGCTTTGACAAATATGCATAATAGACAAAAAATAAGGGGCCGGCAACGCGGACCGGGTCAGCTAGTATATAGATAAATTTTTATTTGTCTACTGTATATCAATAAATGTGGCACAATTGTCCATAATAGTTTGGTAACCTGACGTTGACATAATATAAATTTGTTCTAGACCAACGATGTTACGTATCAACATTCCTATCGTGCCTGATGAGCCGATCTGCTATGTGTGTCTATCCGTCCATTCGTCTCTCCAAATTAATTTGCAATCCGGTTGCAATTTTGGTGCCATCTTTAAAATTTTTGCAAGGTAGTTAGAGTTATGATGATAACAAATATTAATTTTTTTTTCAAACCTTCTACCTTTATATTGATGATGATCTCGTAGACCTTTATATTTTAAAATCGAAGATAGAGCTTAATATATACCAGAATCTACATTTTTATACCCTCCACCATATTATGGAGGGTAAATTAATTTTGTCATTCCGTTTGTAACTCCTCGTAATACTCATGTCAGACCCAACAAAGTATATATATTCTTGATCTAAGACGATTTAGCCATGTCCGTCTGTCTGTCTGTCTGTTGTACAATTCGAACAAATCGAGATAGAAGGCTAAAATTTGCACACATAAATATTTTGCCAGTAGGCAGGTCAAGTTCGTAAATGGGTCATGTAGGTCCACGTTATCATATAGCCCCCATATAACGGTACCCCCCGATATTCGGTATTTTGATGATTTTAGCGACATTATCTACCGGGATTGTTTCAAATTTCGCACGTGAAGTTCGTAATGGATACTTCAGCCCATGCCAGAAAATTGTCTGTGCAGGTCCACGTCTTTGTATAGCCCCCATATAACGGTACCCCATATTCGGTATTTTGATGATTTTAGCTACATTATAAACAGATTTTTCTTCAAGTTTCGCATTTAAATATTGTAATAACTTATGACAAAAGTTGCCTATGCAGGTCGACGTCGTCGTATAAGAATTCGGAGGTTATATTCGCTTTCTCATTCCGTTTGTAACTCATCGAAATATTCATGTTAGACCTTACAAAGTACATATTCTGGATTAGCGTAAAATTCTGTCAGTGTTTCTGTCGGGCCGCCTGCTGTTGTAATCTTTCGAACGATGTGTATGGACGTACCATGTAAATGTATCCCACTATATTAGGTATTTTCATGATTTTTGCAACTCTATTCACCGGAACTGTTCCAAATTTGGTATTTTGAAGGTCTTAATAGTTACTACAGCCTATGACAGAAAATTTTCTATTCAGGTCCACGTCTTCGTATAGCCCCCATAAAATGGAACCTCCCTTTGTTCGGTATTTTGATGGTATTGGAGAAATTATAGACCGGAATTGTTTCAAATTTCGTACTTGTAGCATAATGAGTGCGACAAACTATTGCAGACAATTGTCTATGCAAAACCACGTATTCGATACTTCCCTTAGCGACATTATTCAACGGAATTGTTTCAAATGTCGTCTTCGTATATCTTTCATGTAACGATTTTAATTTAAGCGGTATTTTTCGAAAG